AGTTTTAAGTCTGAAGAAGTTGAAACACAACGGGGAGACCTGGACCTTCCAGATGAACTCCAACAGAGGTGCCATGGATTGCCTGGATCAAGCCTTTGAGTTGGGTGGGAGTGGAGAAGGTGACTGCCAGCTCTGTTTTCAGTCATTGTGTGGTCAGAAAGCAGCTGTACGTTTTTCCAGAGGTGCATGAAAGGGAACCTTCTGGTCAGTCAAGGCTTGAGTGCCTGGAAATGAGGGCAACAAGGATAAAACAGTATCCTTCTTCCAGCCTCCGAGAAACTTCAGTGTTAAAGGTGTTTGTTGCCATCTGTTGTAGTGATCTCTGAAGCCCTGTGATGTTCAGGGAGCAGTTGTGTGTTCACTGCCAAAACTCCCCAACAGGAATGGGATTAGCACACCTCTGGTGGTAGAGGCTGCTTCTGGAACAGGCACTGGAGCATGCAATCAGGTGGAGACAAGCTGAGACCTAAATTCATATTGAGTTAATGCCTGTGACACTGATATAGCACCAGAGAACACAGCTCCAAGGAGGAAATGAACCAGGAGTATCCCCTTGCTACAGAAGAACTCCTTAGCTTTGCTTTTGCTATTTGGCAACTCTTCCCCATGAGATTAAGTTTGAGAATAACTTCAATGTTGTGTTTCAGTGAAATTCTCAGATAGCTGGCAGACAGCAACTGCTTGTTTTTTGAAGCTGTGATGCAGAAAAATGTGTTTCAAATAATTCTTGCCTATTTTAAAAAAGGAAATCCTTAGCCATTCTTTTGCTGGCTTCAGCAGCAGAGGGTTTTCCAGTTAGTCAGGACTTGAGTGTGAAGCCATGAAAAGCCCTGGGACTGGGTGTTGCAAAGGTGACTCTTTTCAGATCTAAAGAAGAGGGATCTTTAGCCTTCATATGTGGTGGATGTCATGACAGCTGTAGAGTCATAGTAATTCTAAGGGAATCTCTCCTGCTCTCTGCTGTTTTCCATGTTGCTGATAAAAGTGCTTCTGTGGCTTTGCAATGGGCTGGAGAGTGAGGAATGTGGTTTTAAAACTGAACTTAAAGCATAAATCTAGTTTTGTTTCCTCTTCATGTGAACCAAGGAGAGAAGTAGTGGGAATGAATTAACAAGCTAAAGGTGAGATTGCTGCTTTTGGCAGCAGTGTGGGACCACACTGGTTCAGGGATGGTGAAAATACACTGTAAGCACAAACTGAATTTTGCTATGTGTGGAGTATGTACTACAGGATTCTACCAAATATGGGATCAGAATGTACTTACAGAGAAAGATTTATTCAAGTCTGATTCCACTTCTGGACCTTTATTGTTTAGTGAGCAAAGATGTGCTGTTTGACTCACTAAAGCTATGGATGTGCTGTTTGACTCACTAAAGCTATGGAAACAACTAAACTGCAGCATCTCATCTGTTTATAGCCAAGTCTGTCATTTGGGATGCTTTTCATCCAAAAATGATGAGGTCTGCTGTAGATCTCTTAGTAATAGACAAGGAAAGCAAAGTAAAATTATTTTTGTTTTTTGTCTTCGGGAAACATTACTGGTGAAAATCAGGAGTTGTTCAGTTTTAGTCTTTTGGGAGATAGTTTGGATAGGTATGCAGAAGTATTTGAGTTTATGATGGCTTGTATTTTGATAGCATTGTAAAAAAAGTCAGCTACATGCAGCACCTTCAATGTCAGCTAGTAGATACCTTAATTCCATAAATATGCAGGTCAAGATTTAGAGCTCTTGTACCACATAACAGAATTGTCATTTACTCTTCACCACTGTCTAGGTTGGATTTATTTTAAAAAACAAAACCAAAATAACCATAAACCAAAAAAGCTTGTGTAACAAGCCTTCTGACAAACAGTTCAAAGCTGATCTCTGAAGTAGACAAGTCCTTGTAGTAGTACAAGTAGTACAAGACTTGTAGAAAGTAGGAACTTGCCACAGTGGACTGTGGGAGAGAGCATGTGTGGTCTTGCTCTCCAGACAGCCCTGAATCCAGGCAGAGAAAAGGCTTTCATTACATATCCCAGCCATGGGAAAAGCTTAATTGGAGTTTGCAGCTCATTGTATACCAAACTCTTCAAGTGTTTGATGTAAATCTGTAGGAAACTGGCTTTGATAATTATGGTGCCCATAGCCCATGCCAGCACCACTCCCTTATTTGCAAGGAATAGTGCTATCAACTGAGATAATTATCCCAGAAGGTTTCATGATGCAGCTTGTCCCAGTTCTGCTGTCACTGAGCATTTGGAAAAAGTACAGGGCTGCTCCTTCCACATGTATTGGTCTGATGAACATCTGGGGAGCTTCCAGAGTGCCCCATGGATCTGTGTGTGGGCAGGGTGCTCTCAGAAATGATTGTTCTGTCGCTGTGAAATTGAGGTTTTTCCTAGTTTGTTTATTAGTTGGAAATGTTTGTTCCAAGCTTTTTGGTGGGGTGAAGGAGAGTTGCAGCTTCTCCATGTGTGATCCCATCCTGTTGCTGCTTGCAGGGAAGCACTTGTTGCTCGCCCAGACACTGCTCAGTGCAGGAGTTGAGAGCCATGGAGAGGAGAGGGCAGGGCAGGTTTTGCTGTAGTTCCTGGTGCCTGTGCTTAGAAGAGCTGACCCAGCAAGGTGTGGGCAGCTATTCCTCCTGTTGGGTGCTGAATCCAGCTGTGGAACAGCTTGAGAGACCTGGCCTAGGAAAAATGAACACCTCTTCTGGCTGTGGAAAGAGGCAACTTCTCACACCCTCTTTTCTTTTCCCCTTCTAAAACGTGTGTGTATCCCTAGGAATTGTCCCAGCTATTTCTACCGCTGTTGGATCAAAAATCAAACTTGCAGGTCCATAATTGAAGCATAACAAATCATAAAACTACCACTCAATTCCTCCTGCCCTTTGTGAAAAGGAAATGTGAAAATGGGCACAAGGAAAACCTTCATGAAAATCTGTCAGTGCTAATCAGGATGAATGAGTTCAATGTTCACTTTGCTTGTATTTCCTTCCTATTTGAAGATTCCAAGAGGTCTTTTAACCTTGAACTTTTCTTTATTTATCTATTTTAACAGTAATTAAACCCCACAGAGACCTGAAGTTAAATAGATTGGCCTTCCCCAGTTAAAATTGTGTTCTGAAAATGAGAGGAAAAAAACCCCAAACAATAAAACCCCAATTGCCTGGTTTTAACTTCCAGTGGAACTACTTTAATTCATTACTGTTTAACAGTTACACAAGTATAAGAAAAATCAATTACAGGATATAAAGCTAGCAATGGTAATATATAGTAGTAATATATTATTTCTGAGGGAATTGTTACTTTTTTAGGTTTCCAGATAAAAATACTTGTAGAAAGAATGTTGTCTTCAACAAGTTAAAACTTGCTGGCATATTCCTGATAATAGTGTCTTTGAAAGAAAGCATGTGCATATACCCAGGGAGATTCAAGTGGGGAATCAAATAACTCTATTTTAAGGGCTGGTATTTAAGCTGCCTGTGGAACATTTTGATGTAGCTTTCTAGGGATTGATCTCTTCTGATGAGGATCCACAGGCTGCACTCCTCTGCAGTAGAGTTAATAAGAAATTTCCAAGGTGCAAGTAGGCCTGGCATGAAATAGTAGTGATTTACTCCTGTTGGTTTTGTGCTGTGTTTGGGAATCTCCTTTAACATTCCAGAAAGACACAGTGGTCTTCCCTATGAAAATGGGAGTGAGAGGAGAAGTTCAGCTGGAAGTCTCAACTTTTTATGTGGCTTTAGCATTGTGTATTAAATGTCCATTTTTTTAAATGTCTACGTTTTAAATCTAGAGCAGTGAGATTTGAGACAATTTTTATCTTAAATCTGTTCTTGCTTGTGCTCAGTCATTCAGCAGTCCTGCCTCTGGGATTCCTAGAAGGGTAGGAGGCTCTCCAAGTACATTCTCCTGTAACACAAATAGTTATATATACAGGATGTAATAATAATTTAAAAAAATATTCCAGGTTACTGCACTGCTGCCTCTTTCCTTTTCATATTCTTTTTCTGCTTGCAATATTAACCTGTAATCATAAAGACTGTAGGAGAGGGATAGTAGAGAACAGACCTCACCAGTAGGACAGAGGAGATTTATCAGTGGAGTAATATCTGTAGTTTCTTGGACAAAAGTCTGAAATCTCTGAGGATCAGGAATGGAAGAGTCAGTAAAGCCCTGAAAGCTCTTCCAGCTGAGAGCTGGCAGGAATGGTGGTGAAAAGTCTCTACCTGACCTGTCTTGGGGATGAGGTGATGGTGAATTCTATGCTTGTGCACTGCAAAAAAATTTCCAGTTGATCCCTTCCCTGGGGAAGGAGCTCTGTTCCCTTGAGGCTTCAGACTTCTCTGAATGATTAATCCATTGGGTCTGTGTCCTCAGGGAGAGATGAAAGAACTGTCGAGGGCTCCTGTGTTATACCTGATAAAGAAAGTCATTAGTGAGGCTTCACATAAATTAAAAAGACTTGGATCCCCTTTCCTTAATAATAGATGAAGCCTTTAGGATTAAACTTTTTTTAAAAATAGGGGGAGACACAACTAGCAAAGCATTCTATGTGAGTAAAATTCCTTTTCACATAATTTTACTTGCCCCTAAATTATTTTGGTTTTCCATATTGCCCCTGTTCTTCCTCCATTCCTGCATGAGATGTGGGCAGACAGGTGGTAGGGTAAAAACATTTTAGAACTCCTCATACTCTGAAATGAAAGTGAAGTTGTAAAGTTTGTTCTTCCAAATTCCTTTGATTCTAGATGTGAACAGGTGTTTCTGTGGCTGAAAAACTGAGCATTTCATTTGTAAATTGTAAATGAGAATAAAATTTCAACCATTGATAGGTAAAGAATGTTTGAATGCTCAATTCAGGAAGCAAAACTTAGCCTGATGGTTACTTCTTTTTGTTTTCCCCCATGCATTTGGTGATACCAAACTCTCTTGTGGCCAAATTACCTCTCTCTCCTTAGCTGGATTCCAAACTGGGACTGTTTTATGCTAAACTTTTTTTCCTTTATTTCCAGATATAATGGATCCCTCCCTAATGGAGACAGGGGGCGCAGGAAAAGCAGATTTGCCCTTTGTAAGCGATCGAAGGCAAGTGGCGTTAAACCCAGCACTGTTCATGTCATCTCTACTCCTCAAGCATCAAAGGTATGTGACCCTGAGCAAATCCTGGTTTTGGATCATCCTGTGTGGAGAACAGCTCAGGTATTGCTGCTGATTTTCCTTGCTGCCAGTTTATTCTGTGCTTATAGGATACTTTTGTTGTAATGGAGAGGCTGCAGTGGATTTGCTTTCTGGGGTGTATAGCTTTAATCCAGTTACCTGTTTAAAATAGTCTGTAAACTCGGGTATGAGATAATCTGACCTTCCTGCCCTGGTCAGAAAGCTGGCTGTCAGTGCTGACTGTTTTATCTGAGCCATGGACTACACAGGAAATAAAAACATGGGAAGTATTTTAGTTTCTTTCTCATTGGAGTGATATTTCTTTCCTCTTCAGGAAGATAACTGACATGCTATAAAAAAATGTTCTGATCCCTTTGGGCCTTTCATTTTTCTGAAAAATGAAGGGCAGATTTTTTTCAGACAAATTTTTGCCTGAAGTTTAGTGTAGGTGAAGGAGGAAAAGCAGCAAAGTTAATATATTAACATAGTAACATATTAATGTATAGGAGTGTCCACGTCAGAATTCTGATGGTTCAGAAATGTGTTGACTGACTTGGACCAAGAGAAGAATATGGAATTGTTTTCTTTTCTAATGCACACCATACACAGTTTATGCCTAAACTTACCAAAACACACAATATCAGAGCTTGTTCTCTTTGAACATTGTATAGGTGTTGCCTGCTGCAGATAAAGGAGTCTTTTGGATTAAAAGTTAGAGTAAATATTTTTCAGTGTTTCTATTACCAAAATGAAAGCTTTTGTGAGTTAAATCTTCCTGATGAAATCAGCCTTCAAAACAGACCTGTAGTATATGTTGGTAATTCTAGTTTGTTGCTTAAAATGTAACAAATGGGGGAAAAAAGTGTTTTACATAGTGGATGAAAATATAAACATTTTCCCACTGGATGATCTTAAGCATTTAGACTGCAGATAGTATTTCAGCATTTGAGTTGCAAAATATTTAAACACCTGGCAGACACCAGTAGGAACCTGGTTAATGTTCATCTGTGGTGTTATTGTAGTGCAGATAAAATATGTGTGCTGTACAAATTCGTGCCCTTATAAAGATAGCAGAGGGTCTGGGGCATTAAAGCCTTTCCTCTGAGCAGTTGGATTTGGGTAGATGTGTCAAGTTGAATGTATTTTGCACTTTCTCTGAACCCTTAGAAAAGAGCTTTAGTGTATTTGTGCTGCTGTCTGGGGCAGGGCTGGTGGATGTGTGCCAGAACTGTGGTGCAGTGGCTCTCAGTGAGTGCTCTTCCCATGCACAGAAAGGACACTTACATTTTAAAGATGCTGTCATCAGCTTTTCTCACATCTTGGGCACCAGAGCCTGAATTGTTTTACTGAGAATTGTTTCTGCATGTAACTTGTGTAAATGACTGCAGAAACATAGGCTAATAGAGTGAGCTGCTTAGTTCTTAGAAAATAATGGGCAACATGACCTCAAAAGTTTGGTTGTGCCCTCAGTCTTTCAGTCTTAACTCGTATTTAAGGATAAACAAGCAGAAACTTGTGCTGCCTAGGATGTTAACAAGTTTCCTCCCTTTACATCCTTCATTTTAACTTTTCAGGTACCAAATTTCTGTTTTGTTCTACTTATGTCACTGTAAATCTGTGAGCAACAAGTCCTGTTGCTTTTTGGGTGGTGGATTTAGCAGAAGTCCTGCCTGCCTCCATTGGTTTTACCTCTGACAAACAGAGGCTTCAATAAGGTGCATGGCTGGTTTTGTGCTGATTACATTAATGCAGCAGCTCAAGAACTGTAGCTGTCACCAATTTCAAGTTTGTGTGTCAGCCTGAACACTGCAATAGATGGTGAGAGGATGCTTGTCATGTTCCATTGTCCCTGCTGTGCAGGTGTCAAGGACAGCTGGAGTAGCAATGGCTTCAGTAGTAAATTTAGCTGAGCTAATTGCATATGAATCACTGCCTTTTGTTTTTTCCACTGAGCACTTGTTTTTTGCCACTCTGCCTTCTGAGGTGCTGAAGAAAGTCCAGAAATGTTTGGCCTTCTGAGGGTATTTGGGTGTATTTAGGAGAAAAGTAGTGCATAGAATAGTAAGTCTCAAGTTTTTTTTTCAGAGTTGTCATTATTAAAATACAGAGGCATCTCTTCAACATTATGCACTGGACTTTAAAACCTATTTTATTAACTCTGTGCTTAGGCACCATTCAGTAAATTGTGTGGCATCCCCTATTTGACAAAAATCAGACCATTTGAGATGGACTTTTTCCAGCATTGTCCAAATTGGTTTGACTGAAAGAAAGAGCTTAAAACTCTCCTGCTGTCCTAAGCTTGTCTTTGTGGACATGCCTGGGGTAGAGTTTTCTTTACCTGAATATGGATATTTCTCAAGATTTTAATAGTCCCCTTTGCTGAATTAGAGAGTTCAAGATCTTTCAAAATCATCACATCACAGGAGAGAACATTCCTTGCCTCTTGACCTGGGTCTCGTGATGAAGAGGAAGGTTTATCAGTCACAATAACAGCATTTGGGAAAACCTTTTTCTGACTACCAAACTCCTAGGTGCAAGTTCACTGTTGGCTCTTCATAACATAGGTAGGGTTGGTAATTTTTATTTTCAAGCTGCTGGAGCTGTTTAACAAAGTCAGAAGTCAGTTGTAATGTTCATTTCATTTAGTTGAGTTGTGTTAACTGTTGTTTTCATGCACAGTGTTTAATGCTATGAAACTCCGGTCAGTGTCTGCTGGTGTCTGAAATGATCACAGGGTTTTCTTGGGCAGAAATTCTCTAGTAAGTGCTGAACTTCAGGTGAGAGTGGGATAAAAGGTTGTCTTTGGAATAATCACCTGTGAATGATGGGATGCTGAACTGGACTTCACTGGGTTTTGGGAGGAATAGAGGAAGTTTTGATAAGGTTTTTTTGTATTTTGGGGGTTTGTGACATTTTTTTTTTGGTTTGTGATATTTGAGTCTAACAAGGAAAGAGGTGCCTGACTGAAAACAAAACTAGCTTAATATCACTGGAGTGATATTTGGGGACAGATCTTTTCTTACAGATCTTAAGCAGGTCAATAATATGCTGTCAAAATAAATCTGTATGATCCCAATTTCTGCAAAGCATGGATGTTCCTGTTCCAGTCCACATGGAGTCTCTTGATTCAGTGGATCACTCGGTTAACACTTTGTCCTGTACAAGCACAGGTAAAGCTTCACTCCTCATTGCTCCTCTCCATGACCATCCCTGGCTTCTTGCTGGATGTTGTTAGTTGGGATTCTTTGTGGAACTCCCATATGAGAGGGGTGCTGGCAGCTGGCATTAACACTGAGCTCACTGGTGTTACTGGAAACTCTGATCTTGGAATCCCCTGTGACTTTGGCTCTGCAAGCATTTAGATTTCTCTATTGGCTTCTGATGCTTCAGAATTCTTCCCATGGGTGTGAAGTTTAGAGAAATGAAGGGGCTTCATGTACATTTGAATTACCTGAAGTATGGCATTAGGAAGCAGGAATTGTTGACCTGCTGTCAACAATTGCTACCTGCTGTAGCCCTCCAGGATTCCCTAGGATTACTCTGGAAACATGACTGAATTTCCTTGTTACAGTGTGGATGGTAATTGAGACTTTCCAAAGTATTCAGTGGGCAAGAGAATATAACTGCTGAGCATTGGAAGTATTCCTTTTTAACAAGGGAATGCTGTGCTTTCCTGAGTGATTGCATGTATAAATAGTGACTCCAGAAAAGATTCCAAATGCCTTTTGAGTTGTTGAACTCCTGAAAAACCCCACATTTAATACCTTTCTATGGTGGCGTGTCTTGGTATTTATTATGTTTGTCTTTCTTAGGGTCAAAGTTTTCCTTTCGTAACCTGTGGTAGATAAAGGCAGCCTATTTTCTGTCCCATGTAATAACTATTTCAAGCTGACTGAGGAAGATCTCTCTGACTTCCAAGTCCAATTACCTGCCGAGTTGGCTTCTGCTTTGTGCTATCACAACAGCAGCTTGGATAGTCACTGGCTGGGTTCCTGCAGCTCTAATCAAGTTTCCTGCTGCTGCTGGAGAAGAACAAAACACAGCCATACGAATAATTATTAGGTCGGGGAGAGAGCTGCAATTTGTGCTTTGAGTGACGAGAGAAAATGAAAGTATAGGATTCTTGTGATTAGTTATCTACTGTAGATATTGCATCTGCTTTGACGTACTTTGAATTGGGAGTAAAAAGGCCACAAATCCTTTTGGCACTGACAGCTTTTTGGTGTTCATTCTGAATGAGAGCTGTAGAGCTCAGCTGCTGTCAGGAGGATGCTGTATCTGACAGTGGCTTCTCTCTTTCCTGTTGGGCTTATTTATGGTCTGATCACTTCATGGAGCACTAATTTGTTCTGAAGTAACTTAATCACATAGGTGTCTTGAGAGCCCCGGCTTGTGCAGAGGCAGCTTTTTATTGGCTCATCAGACTGGGTCTGCTTGAATAATAGTTTCCTTGGTGTAATGTCCTTTTCTTCTATTAAATGAGCATCATCTTAACATGTTAACTCCCTACCCCTGTGCCCTGCAAATAGCAGGGAATGGTTAGGCAGGAGAAAATGGTTACACCAATTTCACTGGTAGGGCTGAATAAATAACAGCCTTTACTTGGTTTTGAAGCTGCCTCCTGAGCTTTTGGGTCCTGTTGAGTAGAATGCATGTCAAAGGTTTTGGAAAATCATTTTATAGTGTTTTCTAACAAAACCCAGATGTTTAGTGAAGGAAGGGGAATTAAAAATTGCTGAGGTCTACAACAATTATTTTTTTATGACTTAATGTTGCTTTTTGTTTTTGTGCTCTCCCTTCAGAGGATAAAAAAAAAGATCAAAAATACTTTCCTTGTAAACTCTCTTTAAACTACATCTGCTCTAAATCAATATTTTCGAGCACATTCTACTTGAACGTGGTGCCCTTTGAAAGCAGAGGAGGATGCAGTGATCACCAGGGCTGGTGTCAAGAAAGTGGGGAACGTTTCATTTCCCCATCCGCTT